CAACATCTTTGCCGATTATCCCGACACGATTGGGGATGGTGAATGTCGAGTAGAACCAGCAGTAGCTGTCCATGATATGCTCGGGGATTCCGTTGACAATGCAGTTGATGGGGTTGCCAATGTACTGTCTGGAGGTGACCAGGAGCGAGAAAGCGATCAGGATGATGACTGTGGCTTTGTAGTGCAGTCTGAAGACGTTGTCTATGCAGACGGTGTCGAGCTTTAGCAAGCCCACCATCGAGCCGAAAACGTTAAACATTTTGGATTCTCGACAACTGGACGGGTGCACAGCACAATTCACTCATTGGTTTGTAAAAAAAATCTTGTTCACTGAGCGTCACTCGTGTTAATGGCCGAGTTGGTTGAACGCCGATATGTAACTCTCGTATAGAGCCAGGCAAGCTAACGTCGGGAACCGTACAATCGAGCACAAGCAGGGATGCGCAAGTATAATACTTGACGTATAATACATAGGTATTATACGTATTATACATATGTATTATACGTAGAAAACTCGAAGTTAGGGTACGGTTACACGACTTTTGGAAAAACCATTCTTGTCTTTCTCTCTCCTATTACAGACGCATAAGTTTGTCTCACTCTGCATTTTCCGTCTTTGGGAAATGTAAGAAAATGCAGAGTGAGACAATCTTATGCCTCTGTCTTAGGAGAGAGAAAGACATGAATGGTTTTTCCAAAAGTCGTGTGACCGTATCTTTACGCGTAACTTGACATCCCTGTGCACAAGGGACTTCTCCCTCCAGAGCAGTGTTGCCAGAGTGAGCGACCGTAACTTCCTACTTTCTCGATACGAAATTCCCAAATTTTCCTGGACAAGTTCAGAAATTTCCCGGAAAATTTCCCACAATTCAAAATAACATTTAAACACTGAAGGTGCTTTTATACCTCAAATTTCGATCAGATGAACATTATTTCTGGACCGTGAAAATGCGTGAAAAGTCATTTTCACGGCGGGTATTTTTGAATTGTTTTAAACAAAAAATGTTTTTTTAAGAAATATAATATTAAATAATTGTTTTAATATGTAAGAACACTTTAAAATAGTGATAAAAAGATGATTTGATTGAAAAATTTAGCAAATTTTGCTTTAAAACGTTTCTGCTACAAGAAAGTGTAAAATGACGATGTTTGTGAAATGGTTTGTACAGTGTACATGTGTACATGTTTCTTTCAGTTATTCGAAACAACTAGTTGAATTTAAATTTATTTGATAAACATTTCAACTTACCGATTTATTTTCAGCACTCATTATTTATTACAAGTTAAAAAGAACCGACATAACATAAACAAAACTCTGAGAGACACTCACAAGGAAGAAGCACTGTACAAACCATTTCACAAACATCGTCATTTTACACTTTCTTGTGGCAGAAAACGTTTTAAAGCAAAATTTGCTAAATTTTTTAATCAAATCATCTCTCTATCACTATTTTAAAGTGTTCTTACATATTAAAACAATTATTTAATATTATATTTCTTAAGAAAACATTTTTTGTATAAAACAATTCAAAAATACCCGCCGTGAAAATGACTTTTCACGGTCCAGAAATAATGTTCATCCGATCGAAATTTGAGGTATAAAAGCACCTTGAAATATTGAATTACGAGTAGACATCGGCATCATCGACATTAACACTAGTCCACAAACACAACCAGAAGGATAGATTTATGGAGAATTCACAATAACTGGTTTTCTGAACGTTGACGTTAACGTAAGCACCAGAGATGGGTAAGTGAATTATTATCCACTTAATTTATAACCCATCTCTGGCGAATATGATCTCTCACACCATCTATCGTATATTTCTTTTCTAAAGCAGTGTCACGTCCCAGAAATTATTTACTGGATTTCCGTCAGCTCCGAACAGCACGACCAATCACAGGCTGGATCCTTGGACCGCGAACTTCGTTTAAAAACGAATATTGAATTTCAATTTCAATATTATTGAAATTTATTTAGTCTTTATTGAATAAATGTTCCCTTGGGATAATTTATAAATAAAACACTCAATTTGATTGGAAAAAACCCTTCTTGGGTAAAAAACCAATTTTATTTAAACTTGGAATGTTTAATTATTAATTCACAATTATTAATTAGTTTTTCTCTTTTTAGAATTCACAATCATTAATAAGTTTTTTCTTTTACAGAAGTTCACAATTGCTAATAAGTCTTTTCTTTGAAAATTTGCAATTGCTAATAAGTCTTGTTTTTTAAAATTCACAATTGCTAATAAGTCTAACACTTTTTATAAACTCAAAAGTTTAAGTTTATTACATATTTCACTTTAACAAAAATTGTTAAAAATTTATTTGTAGTCACAAGCGATTATTTTGCGGAGAGACTCTGCAGTATTCAGAACAAGATTTGAATAAAATCTGAAAAATCTAGGCTCAAAATAGTCTTTATATACCCGGTAAAATAGAAAGAATTTATTCTCTCTATTATTTTTTAACCAATCAGATTGCCGATGACGTATTTTCTAACCAATAGGAAAAGAGAGTTTGAAATTATAAAATAAAAAAGAAGAGAAAAAAAAATTATATTTCTCTGGAATATGGCTATCTTTAGAATAATACTTCCTATGTATGAGTCATTTTTACCTCTATTTTAAAATAAAATATAATATTTTACTTTAACGGTTTTGTTGAGTCATTTTCTATTTTTAACTTATGACTCATCTTTTAAAACATAAAACCTTATTTTAATACTATTTATTTTATCGATTTATTTAAAATATTTTTGCGAATATTATTTTATCCTAAATTTAAAATAAATAATTTCAAATCATAAAAGAAATTTTATATTTATTTTATCAAATAGAGAAATTCCCTAGATAATTTACTAGAAAAAGACTCCAGATGTCACAAGCAGTAACCAGCAGAAAATTACAAATTTGCGGGAAAAATTACACTATTTGACGATTTCCACAGAAATTCCCGGAACTTATGCATTTCCCGTAAAATTTCCCGAGACGGAAGAAATTTCCATGTCGTTGGCAACACTGCTCCAGAGGCGGTTGCCATCACGGATCCTCGGGAATCCCCGCGCTAAGTAGACGAGGCGCTGGGAGGGGTTTTAAGGGAGTTTCTTGAACTTCACTGAAGCTAGAAATATTTATTTTGTTGGTTTCTTAAACTTCACTTAAGCTAAAAATAATTTTTTTGTCAGTTAGATTCGATTTTATAAAAACTAAATTGACTACGCTTTTGATATACGTTGAGGAAAAATATAATTTATATAGAATAAAGAGACGAAAATTAGACTTAAAGTTGAAAATTCAATTAAAAAATCAAACTTTCAAAAAGTTTTTGCTCTGTATCCTTTCGAATTCAATTTGTAACCAAAAATGTCTTAGATGTTTGCAAAGAGCTTTTCTTCAGCTTCAAAATGAAAAAAAAACTTTTTATTCGGACAAAAAATGGCAAAATTACAACGTGGTTTGTACAGAAATCTTCGTAAAAACCGTTTTTGGGCTCTAAAATGAGATTTTTAGGGTGTATCGAAGTTTTTATTCATACCATTCTTTTTAGTTTTTTAATACCTACAACCTCCACTAGGTCCAATAAGAAGTTTTCAATCCGTTCAAAATTAATCATTTTTAAATTTAAGAGCTTATAGTTTTGAATTTTTCGAAATTTTAACGATTCAAAAATTGAACGCATTTAAATTTGAACATTTTAAAATATGAAAATGTTTTGATTTGAATGCATAAAAATGTGAGCGCTTTAAAAATTAAAAAGGTCCCAATTTTCAGACTCTAAAATTAAACGCGTACCAAATTTGAGCGCTTCAAAAATTACCATATAAATTTTGTAACAATCGGACCAATAATTTTCTCTCCAGCCTTGTTCAATTATCAAAAAATGTAAAAAAATCAGTTTTCTGTGGATTAAAAATGAAATTTGTCTTTAAAATTTTTTTTATGCGAAAGTTATTTTTTTGATTGCAAAAAGTTAGTTTTTATTGTTTCCAAAAAGTTTCATTGAAATTGGTTCCTAACTTTTCGAAATATCGAAAATATCCCCGAAAAATGAAATAATTTGAGATATTTTTTTATTTTATTGTAATCTATAAATCTTGATTAATTCAGGGATTTTAGCGACCTGGAATTTCTGAAAAACCTAGAAAAGTCCTTGAATTTCTAACAAAATTCAGGAATTTTTTATTCCTTTAATGAATTCCTTTTTCATTCTATAAATTAGAAAAATAATAATACGACTAAAAATTAGTGGAGTTGAGAATTTGGACAATTATATAATTTCTTAAATTGAAATGTAACAAAACTCGTAATATCACGTAATAAATACAACTATTTTCGATTTGAGTCAAATCTCAAATTTACATTTTAATAGAATATCAGAGTTACATAAAATGTTTGGTAGATGCCAAGAAAAAGTTAAATGTAATGTGAAACTTTATTATATTACAAAAACTTTGTTGGTACATTTTTTAGAAGTTTTCGATCAAAAACTGTATTCCTTAGAACTTTTTACTAAATTAAGCTACGAAGATAAAACTTTTTCCTAATTTTGCAACTATTCAAAGCCATTGAAGTATAACACAAATAAAAAAGTTAAAATAACAATTTTGACAATTGTTTAAACAAATTATATTTTACATTTATAACTCTTTACCGTATTGACTATACGAGGTTGCAATCTTTTTCCAATTTTGCAACTTTTTGAAGCCACAAAAGTAATTTGCGCACAACGAACTGAAAATAATAATTTTGACAATTTTTTAAAGAAATTATATTGTTTAATTGCAACTTATTACAAAATTATGCTACATAGTTAAATTTTTCAATCTTACAGATTGAAAAATTGTTGCCTTCCCCCTTGACGTTTCACGAGATGTGAGCCCAAGTCTTCGTTTGGGACCTTGTATCGAAATATACAATTTACTCATCTTGATAATGTGAATTTCATAAACTTAAGAAAAGTATAAAATCAAAATTTAAAAAAAAATTAATGCGGATTAATTTTTCAAATTTTATTGAAATATGTAGTTTATGTATTACATTTATGTAACGGGAAGCTACAATTTTGTATATTCTAATCTTTAGAATACTTAATTTTATTCTTGAATCTTAATTATTATTATAATTGTTTTAAAATTACGATTTTAAAACTTCGCCTCAAAAAGTATCAAAAAGATGAAATTTTCGTAAAATAAATTACTTTGAAAGGCTATGTTTTGAGAATTTTATGGTGTGACGTACTTTCTTCATCGACTTCTATTTTTCGCTTAGTAACAAGGCGAGATGTACAAATGGGTTGTGGTTTTTTAAAGACTCCATCTTCGACAATAGGGCAAAGTTGATTAAGTTCGCAGTTATTGTTTAATTTGCTCTTATCTTTCATTGTCACGTATTTAGCATTTTTTAAATTTGATGAATTGTATCCGTTTGTTGAGGAACTATTACGTTTATTAAATACCATAGTTGTAACGATCATATCATTACTACCCTTTCTTAAAACAGACAACTTTTCAAGCGCATCAGTACATAAAATTGATGATATATTTCGCTCAAATCGAAATATCTGAAAAAAATGTCAAATAATGATGAAATTATTGTATTATTATTATTACTAGCAATATAAACTTACAATTAGTTTCATTTTAAATTAATTAATAATATAATGATCATAATGTTTTAAATTATTTGAATTCCATTAGATTTTATTTTTTAAACAACTAACTTTAATTTAATCCTATTGTTTCAGTGGTTAAAACATTTACTTCTTAGATTTTAATTGATAATTAATTTAATTAATACCAATTTTAATTAATACCAATTTTTATTAAATTAAAACTTAATTGATTAAAGTAGAAATTTAATTATTTGTATATTATTCTGTGTAGTACTTTTATTAACCGTCTGGTCAATTATTCTTAAAAATTAATCTTAATTAAACTTGAAATTAAATTTATGAAAATGTCGAAAATTTTATTCTATTTTATTTTAATTTATTTAATTGTAACTTCATTCACTTCTTATTTGCCTTTAATTTTAATTCATATTAATTTTATAGATTTAAATTTCAAACAATCCATTTTTTATTTAGTCCTATTCAGTGTGTTTTTCAAGAACTGGTCAAATTTTTTTTTCGACCATAACTTTTCAGTAACATAAATGAATTTTCTTAATTCAACAAACAAATTCATATAAAAATATTTCACAAGGAATTGGATTGGTCATACAATAAAACAATTAAATTCTATCAAATACTAATAATTAAATAAATAATTACTGTTAAATAGTTTTAAATTTTTAGTTTTTGAAAAACATTAATAAGAGAATCGTACATCCAGCTTTTCATGAGTTTAAGGCAATGTTGAAAATACGTTTGAAACAGTTTTAAGATTTTGTTTACTGTATTTACTTTTACAAACAAATGTTTATAGTAATTCTTAACAAACGATTCGATGGTCATAAAATAATATTAGTCAACAATTTTTAACCAATTTTATAACATGATCATTGACTTCCTTTTCGAAATTTTTATTTGTTGTAAGAATTGAAGGAAAAGGTTCACCTTTTTTCAGCTACATCATGGAATCCATTATATTTCTAAAAATTTATTTTAATAGTAATTTTTGCAAGCATTGTAATTGTGAAAAACTTGGTCAAAAAAGTTTTTGACAGCCTTTGGATTTTTATTCTTTCTAAAAATTTAATCATTTCAAATTCCAAGTGCAATTTTTGAGCAAATATGATTCCAACGCACCAGGAAATAATAATTATTTTTATTAATTTTAGTACTTTCATGTATTTCTTTTATAGTTTTGTCTAAAAAAGTATTAAATAACGAACTTTTTAAATTAATCTTATTCTTTAATTATTTATTATTCTTTCTAAAACATTGGAAGTAATTATAAAAAGTAAGCACGCTAAAATAAGATCTGACCAACATTTTTAGCTTTAATACCTTTTGTGTATACTTTCAGAATTAAATTCATTTTTATTTAAAATGTTTTAACTAAATTTAAGTTTGAAAAAAATTATTATTTATTAAGATTTGTAATAAATTTTGTTACAAATTAGGATTCAAATAATAAATGTTTTTATCACTAACAAAGTATGACTAAAAAAATTGGATGGTTTGAAATATAAATTTATTAAATTTGAAAGAATGAACGAATACGATACGAAGATTATTATAGTTAATTTATTATTATTATTACTATTATTATTATTTATTATTATTATTTTATTTATTTATTGTTTTATTTATTTAATGTTGAACCTTTAAAATGGTTATGAGTAAAAAAAAAAAGACAAAATATAATGTTAGAATTGAGTTGATAGCTGGTGAAAAATGAGGGGTAGTTTACTTACATATTTGTTATTGTCCTTGTATAAATAGAGATCTCTACTTTCTTCTTCTGTTTGGACAGCTTTTACAGCTTCCGTGGAATTGATTGCACTCCAAAAATTGCTTGTGGCTAAAACCAAACATCTTTTCCTACTATCAACATTTATTACTGTAACGTTCGGAAGAAAAGATATGGCTGTCTTTTCTTTATCTGTAAGATTTTGCAGATCTGCAATAGAAAAAGTGTTTAATATTAATAATAATTTATAGAAATTCTACATCTTACAAATATTATGAAACTGAAGTTTCTTTAAAATAATCGGGTAGCTATCATTTCCACCAAAACTAAATTAATAGAATATACAATTCATCAAACTTTGATTGTCCTAAGTTTTCAGTTTCTGAACTTGAATTTGTCCCAGTATTCAATATCCGGAATTTAAACTATTCACAATATTTAACTTCATGAATTTTGTTTTGTCTGAATATCAAATGTCGTCTTTTAAAATACTTATTTTAAGCTGAGAGGAAAAGTAATACTGGCACAAAATTCTGAAAAAAGTTTTTATATATGAGCCCATTCACGGTGAAAGGGACCTTAGCTACAACTATACTTTACTGCATTTTTTGAATAAAATTTCTTTTCTGAATAAATGTTTTCAGAAAATGAAAATTTTAATTTGCTTTTTACCATTAAAAATATATGTATGGTACCAGACAAAATAAAACTTTTCATAAAACCTGAACTGCAATCTAATAAATATATATAGAAATAAAGTAAGATAAAAAAAATTTTAATCAGGACGTCTAAGAACTTTAAGAAAAAATTTCCTGGCTTTTCCCTGACTTATACTCGTCAATTACAAATATTTTATCAAGCATTATTCAGAATATTTAAGTATTAAAGATCAAAAACTTGATGTCTAATTTAAAGCAAATTATTTTACTACAGATCTCTAGTAAAAATTATAAGTTAAAGTTGTTAAGAACTTTCAAAGACCCTGTAAATTTATAAATTATTAACAAAAAATTAATATATTTGAACCTAAAAAAAAAGAGCAAAATCATAAAAAAAAGGTGACAAATTAGCAAAATAGGTGACATTTTGTGATAATACTAAACTTAGCTAACTTTTTTTAAAAAAATAACAATTTTTAATTCTGAGATATTATTAGATTATTTCCTTAAACTTGACAACAAATGGATATAAATAAATACAAATATAAAATAAGAATATATTATTTACTTTTAATCTCGTTCAATCCATTAAGCAGACCCACATTGTTGGAATTGTTTTCTCTTGTTAGGGTTTGGCTTACCCAATCGTTTTGACTGCCTTTAATTCCTAAAACAATCTTGCTATTTCCAAAATTCAGAAAAAAAATCTTGTTCAACTTTACAATTGCTACACTAAGTGACAAGCCAATCTCAGATCCGTTTTTACCGTTCTCATCTATAAGAAATGTATTTCATTAGTTAAGGAACAATCAGACAAACATTGAAAGTGAGGTTATGTTTTTGTGTAAAATTAGACTTTTTCAATTAGAAACATGATCTTTTATTGTAATTTTGTTTATTCGAAAGTTGGTATTTGTTATTTACAACAAAATGAACCAATAAAAAGTACATTTAAACACAAATTAAAAAAATCTCACCTGCAGAAACTTTTTCAGAATTTTGCGATTTTGTTTCTGCAAGTGAGATTTTTTAATTTTTGTTTAAATGTACTTTTTATTGATTAATTTTGTTGTAAATAACATATAGCAACTTTCGACTAAACAAAATTACAATAAAAGATTCTGTTTCTAATTAAAAGCCAAATTTTACACAAAAACATAACCTCACTTTCAATGTTTGTCTGATTCTTCCTTAAAAAAAGTAAAGTGAAAAATGCAAAAAATTACAAAAGTGGCCGTAAGTAATTTAAATCCTATAGAAAATTACATTTAAAACAAGCCTAGTACCATTAAAAAATGTTCAATATTTAAAAGGTTATATTAATTTTTAAAGAAAATTTATGATTTAAAAAATCGACTTTTTTAAACATATCCAAATAAAAAGTCGTGAAAATGACTTCATTATATATTATTCTACTCAGAATCTAATTACCATTTGTAAAATAAATGAAAAGAAGTTTCAGTTTTAATACTTATACTTAGTTTTTCATTCATACAAAAAAATTGGGGATTCACAATTCTGAACGGTACTGTACTTACCAAATTTCAGTATTAAAGCCTCTAGCATTCTTATGAATCCATTGTTAATCGCTTCTAATGTTTTTTTGACTTCTTCGCTGATCAGATTCTCTTCTCCGATGTAAGTTATAAAATTTTTATAAACAAAATCAACAACCTCAGGATCACCGTGCCCATCAATTACTCCTAAACAAAAGCCATCACTTAAAGGTGCAGAATACCATTTTTTATCCAATTCCATATCTTTATTTCTTATGTCTCCTTCTGATTTTGAAACAAAAATATTATATTGTTTAACAAACATTGTACCACTAAGAATGATACGTTCTCATAATTTGACAGCCGATACTCTCAGGCGAACTACGGTCCTATTCTAAAAAAAACATAGCATAAAAAGGTCGAATTGAAGAAAGTCGAAACTCGAAAAGTATCGAATTAAGGCCAACGCACAATAATTCGCGAACGAGATACATGAGATAGAAACGGATACGAATATATTTCTGTCCTTCTTTAACTCATGTTTCACGTTCGCGAACGTCTTTCGCGAAGCTATTCTGCTTAAGGAGCTTCTACAATAAGGTTATTCAAGTTGGGTGGGGGAAAGCCAAGATGGTTGCTTGCTGGTGCACCTGTCAGCCTATCAGCATTCATTCCCACGAGAAATTTCTCGTGGGAATGAATGCTGATAGGCTGATAGGTGCACCAGCAAGCAACCATCTTGGCTTTCCCCCACCCAACTTGAATAACCTTATAGCTACGTTTGGCAACTCCAACTCCAAGTCCAAGTTGGTTGGAGTTGGTTGCGCACGCATGGTGTTGCCAACTGTCGCCGAGTTGAAAATGAAAAAAAAAATTGTGCGTTATCTCGTGCTCACGAAATAGTTGAGATTATGTACTTTTGAAGCTGTAATCACGCTGTAAAGTTTAATAAATTATTTGTTGTTGTTGCTGTTGATGTTGCCGCCGTCTCATCGTTTTTTAAAGAGAAGAAAAATATAAATTAAATTAAATTTTTCTTTTATAAACAACAAAATTTTTTCCCCCGAATAATACACACATGCAATGAATTTTATATTTGTAATATATAAATATAGTAATAAAGAAATATACAATAAATGAGATGAACTGTCAATACAAAATTTTTTTTATGTTTTTTATTGACATTATAATAAAAGTTTTTCATCATTTTGATTTCACAATATATTAAAAAGGTATTTTCATGAACATAACCTTACAATATTTTTTTTGCTTATTTTAATATTAGAGAATGCAGATAATTTTCAAAGTTTAATATTTTATGAATGAATTTTTTCGTCTAAAATTCATTGAATTTAATTACTATATATGTGATAATTCTTTAAAAAGTTAATTTCTTCATGCGTTGCCATAATATTTTTGTAATCGAATTTCCTGAATTCTCCATTTTTCCATGTAAATAATAACTTTTTCCCTGACAAACAGATTTCTTATTAGAAGAAAAAAAAACATTTAAGACTCTACAAACATTTTAAACACTATAATCTAAATACTCTAATCTGAATTTAATTCTGAAAATAACATTAAAATAATATAGTAAAATAATCTGTTAATGAGAATAATGTAATCTTAAGTTAAGTTATTTTTAAAAATCGTATTTAATTAAAAATATAATAAATATGTCAACGCACGTTTTCGATTATTTTTCAAATATTTTTAAATTTAATACCATTTTATGATTACGCCCTTCTCATGTAATGAAATGTAAAAATATTGTAAGGTTATGTTCATGAAAATACCTTTTTAATATATTGTGAAATCAAAATGATGAAAAACTTTTATTATAATGTCAATAAAAAACATAAAAAAAAATTTGTATTGACAGTTCATCTTATTAATTGTATATTTTTTTATTACTATATTTATATATATTACTATATATATGTCACGCACAATTTTTTTTTTCATTTTCAACTCGGCGACAGTTGGCAACACCATGCGTGCGCAACCAACTCCAACCGACTTGGACTTGCCAAACGGAGCTATTGTAGAAGCTCCTTTAGGCCTATAAGGATTATAGCATTAAAGAATAAAAGAACATAGAAAAGCACACCTACACGTAAAATGGAAAGTGGAGGTGGAGCCATCTTGCGTTCATCAAGCGAAAAAAGAATAAAGGAGTGAAGTTCGAGCATGCAGGTATCGTCCCATGACAACGTGAAAGCGGGTTCCGTATTGATTTGCCGAAATCGAAATTCGCTGAACTGTAATTTCGCCGAAAAAAGTTCACTTCAGTTGGTTTCTTATAACACAAACACATAGAAAGGTCCATGTGTTTGTGTTGTAAGAAACCACCTGAACAAGAAGACTGTAGACAGGAGATCCAACTAGAGTGGTGGGGGCAAGGCAAAACTGTGTTCTTATGTAGGCGGTTAATCGACTTTTCGGAGATTCGACCCCTTGGCTGGTCGCCCCAATGTCTATTAACAAAATACCGGTCGACTCAATGACTCGGAACTCAGAACAAAAAACTCGATCCACGTTTAACATTTTGCTTTTCATTGTGCGTTGGGCTCGAGAATACTGAAAACGGGAGATCTAACTCGGATGGTGGGGGTAGGTCACTGAACGGCCTCATCAGGCTAGGACACAGGGACGCATTGCATTGCCCGGTCAGCTCTAAGGTTTCTAAGAGCGCAGTCACATGGAGCAGAATAGCAGATTAGCAGAATAGATTTCAACCAATCAAAATTTAGTCTCTCACGGTAGAGAAACATTTGCCGCTAAAGACTAAATTTTTAATGGCTGAAATCTATTTTGCTAATCTGGTATTCTGCTCCATGTGACTGCGCCCTAAGAAGAGTCTGGTGGTAGGAGTTGGCAGGAGTTTGAGAACAATATGGGAGTTACGCCGTAGCGATTATATTTATTCGTTGGCACTATACTGGCGTTGCGCTCTTGTATATCCGGCCATGACCAGGTAAAGTTATAGATTGGCGAGCGTTTAAGCTCGATTCACATTTGCTCTCGGAGAATATTCCCGAAAGCCAAAGCATAGATTCAAGTATATAAAGAATGCGCGAAAAGAGAGTAACATATTACGTATAAATAAATAAGTTAATTTTAAATTTTAATATTAGCTAATTTTAAAAAGCGAAAAACATGAGAAATGATTCTAGGAGAGGGAGTTGTAAGAAATTGGACGCTGCAGAATGGTGCAGGACATTTTAGAGCTCTTGTAAGAGCTTTTAGTAAATTAGGACGAAATGCATTAAATCTGGGACATGACCATAGGATATGGTCAAGGTCCTCTTCAACACCGGTGCAGTTAGGACAGTTACCGGAAGTTATATAATTTTTTCTGGCCAAACTGGCATTGAGATTATAATGATTGCTTCTTGCTCTGCAAATGGATACAATCCACTCTCTACGAGCGACGAAATTTGCAAACCATGGCTTTCTACTAGGTTTATAGTAAATTTGTGTATAGTGGGAACCTTTATTTTTGCCGACCTCACGGAAAAATGAAGCACAACTTTCATCTAATTGTTTACGAGCGAGAGGGAAAAAATCTGAAAAAGGAAGTTCAATGTCAAGAAGTTCAGAATTAGAAGAGCCATCTTTAGCAGCTTCATCAGCTTGTTCGTTGCCATCAATGCCCTTGTGACCAGGGATCCAGGCCAAAATTGTTGGACAGTTCAAATCGGAGAGAATTCTTAATCGGTTTCTAATTGCGAGGATTATATATGATTTAATCTTGTACATGTTTTTGGATTTTAGGTTTTTTAGGACACTGAGTGAATCTGTAAAAATAACTGTATTGGGTAGTTTATTATTAATTATATAATCTAAGGAAAATAATATGGCAAATGCTTCAAGCGAAAAAATAGAAGAAAAGTTTGAAATTTTATATTTTAATGTTACATTTAAAGAGGGGCAAACGACTGCGCATCCAGCCAGATGTTATGAATCTGATTTGGAACCATCAGTGAAGAAGTATGTGTGATTAGGAAAGTCTTGGTTTGCAAGATCGTTGAACAAGAGTGATGGATTTGGTGAAGCTTGTATTAAAAGTCCCCAGTCTGGGATAACTTGTGGAGTGAATATATGATCATCATAAAGGAATTCGAAAAAGGGATCAAATTCCCTTTTTCTGATTAGTTCGCTGCAATTTTTCGATTTTTCATATGCAATTAGCAATGGATAATTGTATTTCACATTAGAGTTGATAGTAACACAAGAGAGAGTTGAGAGTTTGTCCGGCAAAATGTGAGAGGAGTTCGAATAAATTTTTATAAGGTATTTTTTTGCTAAAAAATTGAATCTAGTTCTTAGAGGAGGTTCGCAACACTCAGCCAAGATTATGTTGATAGGTGTGCTGTTTCTATAGCCTACGGCTAATCTTAACATTTGATTGCGGATTTTTTCCAATTTAGAAAAATTTTTGTGGTGCTTAAAATTTGAACCTTGTGAACAATAATCTATTTTACTTCTAAAGAGAGAATCATAGATTCGAACGAGTACGTAAGGATCGGCTCCCCACCCTGTGCCTCTAAGGACTTTAAAAATATTTAAAATCTGTCTGCCCTTGTCGCATAGATAATTAAAGTGAACATCGGAAGATGCTGATTGGTGAATTTGAATACCGAGGTATGTAGCTGAAGGAGATGGTTTAATAGTGGTACCGTTTAGTGAAAGTGTAAGAGTTGGATCGTCTAGATTTAGTTTTTTATTACTGAAGATGACTAATTTAATTTTTTCTGGACAGATATCCAAACCTCTATTAGACAAAAAGACAGAAATATTTTCGAGGCAGGATTGAAGAGAGGTAATTATTTGATTAAGGTTAGGAGAACGACAAGTGACGGTTAAGTCATCTGCGGATCCTACACTGCGGATCCTACACTGCGGATCCTACACTGCGGATCCTACACTGCGGATCCTACACTGCGGATCCTACACTGCGGATCCTACACTGCGGATCCTACACTGCGGATCCTACACTGCGGATCCTACACTGCGGATCCTACACTGCGGATCCTACACTGCGGATCCTACACTGCGGATCCTACACTGCGGATCCTACACTGCGGATCCTACACTGCGGATCCTACACTGCGGATCCTACACTGCGGATCCTACACTGCGGATCCTACACTGCGGATCCTACACTGCGGATCCTACACTGCGGATCCTACACTGCGGATCCTACACTGCGGATCCTACACTGCGGATCCTACACTGCGGATCCTACACTGCGGATCCTACACTGCGGATCCTACACTGCGGATCCTACACTGCGGATCCTACACTGCGGATCCTACACTGCGGATCCTACACTGCGGATCCTACACTGCGGATCCTACACTGCGGATCCTACACTGCGGATCCT